TAGTAGTAATAGTACAGTCGTAGTAGTAGTATTCGTAGTAGTATAAGTATTAGTAGTAAGAGTAGTAGTAGTCGTGGTCGTTAGTCGTGTAGTAGTAGTAGTAGTAGTAGTAAGTAGTAAAGTAGTCAAAGTAGTAGTAGTGTGTAGTAGTACTAGTAGGAGTGGTAGTCCTGCGAATTCGTCGTCTTCGTAGTAGTAGTAGTAGTAGTAGTACTAGTAGTAGTAGTAGTAGTAGTAGTAGTAGTAATAGTAGTAGTAGTAGTCGTAGTCGTAGTCGTAGTCGTAGTCGTAGTCGTAGTCGTAGTCGTAGTAGTAGTAGTAGTAGTAGTAGTAGTAGTAGTAGTAGTAGTAGTAGTAGTAGTAGTCGTAGTCGTAGTCGTAGTAGTAGTAGTCGTAGTCGTAGTCGCAGTAGTAGTAGTCCGTAGTAGTAGTAGTAGTAGTAGTAGTAGTAGTAGTAGTAGTAGTAGTAGTAGTAGTAGTAGTAGTAGTAGTAGTAGTAGTAATAGTAGTAGTAGTAAGTAGTAAGTAGTAAGTAGTAAGTAGTAGTAAGTAGTAGTAGTAGTAGTAGTAGTAGTAGTAGTAGTAGTTAGTAGTAGTAATAGTAGTAGTAGTAGTAGTAGTAGTAGTAGTAGTAGTAGTGGTAGTAGTAGTATCCGTAGTATTCGTAGGATTCGTCGTCTTCGCAGTAGTAGTAGTAGTAGTAGTAGTAGTAGTAGTAGCAGCAGTAGTAGTAGTAGTAGTAGTAGTAGTAGTAGTAGTGGTAGTGGTAGTAGTAGTAGTAGTAGTAGTAGTAGTAGTAGTAGTAGTAGTAGTAGTAGTAGTAGTAGTAGTAGTAGTAGTAGTGGTAGTCGTCGTCGTCGTCGTCGTCGCCGCCGTCGTCGTCGTAGTCGCAATAGTAGAATTCAGGCCTTGCAATAACGGTCATATTCTATGCTTGCTGTAATAATCGTGCTGCGCTGTTGTACTGGTTGCGCGGTCGAAGCAGTGCTCTAGTGCAGTATTCGTGAGAGGAGTACTGTTCGATTACCTGCAGTGAATGTACTGCAGTACTGTAGTAGGAATACTCCAATGCAGCAGTATCGCAGCACTGTTGTAGTACCCTAGTACTGTAAGGCTGTAGTGGTGGCGCTGTACGGGTCGTAGAGGAGTACTCTGGCAGTGGTACTGCAGCGTACTCTACGGGTGGTACTTCGAAACAGGTCTAAGCAAGTAATCGTATTGCATTAATGAAATGGCCGCACTGTTGTAGTCTTGTAGCTGTGGTTGCAATCGTACTATTACTACTACTACTACTAGTAGTAGTCGCAGTAGTTGTACGCAGGCCATGCAATAAAGGTCATATTCTCGCGCTTGCTTTAAGTGTCGCAGTGCCGTACTGTAGTACAAATAGTCCACTACCGTGTTGCTCGAGTACAACCGTAGTTTCCTCGCACTCTGTTGTTTTAGCGGTCGTGGTGTAGGGGGAGCGCTGTGCTGTGGGGGGCGTGTGCTGTCCTGCTGTAGCAGTGGCACTGGAGACGCAGTGCTCTAATACCGTATCCGTGTGCGTTGTACTCTACTATTGCCTGCAGTGGGTGTACCTGTACTGCCGTAGGGATACTCCAATGCCGAAATATCACCACGGTGTTGTATCATGTCTTGCAGTATACTCCAATATTTGCTGAAGTCGTTGCGCTGTAGAACTGTAGTTGGCGCAGTCCACGACTGTAGCGCTCGAGCACAATGGTAATCGCATCTTAGATCTCGAGTACTTGAAGGGTAGCGCTGTAGGACTAGTGCTGTGCACTTGTGGAATAGTGCTGTGCTGTTGTAATAGTGGCGCGGTCGAAGCAGTGCTCTAGTGCAGTATTCGTAGGCGGAGTACTGTTCGATTACCTGCAGTGAATGTACTGCAATACCGTAGCAGGAATACCCCAGTGCCGCAGTATCGCAGCACTGTTGCGGTATTCTAAATACTCTACTGCTGTAGTGGTGGCGCTGCGCGAGTCGTCGAGAAGTGCTCTAGCAATAGTACTGCAACGCTAGTACTGCAGAGTACTCTACGGGTGGTACTTTGATGCAGTGCTAAGCCAGTAGTCGTACTGCATTAATGAAATGGTCGCGCTGCTGTAGACTTGTAGCTGCGGTTGCTACTATTACTAGTAGTAGTAGCAGTAGATGTACCAAGGCCATGCAATGAAGATCATATTCTCGCGCTTGCTTTAATTGTCGCAGTGTCGTACTGTAGTACAAGTAGTCCACTACTGTATTGCTCGAGTACAATAGTAGTTCCCTCGCGCTCTATGGTTTTAGCGGTAGTGCTGTATGAAAGGGCGCTGTGCTGTGGGGGGCTTGTGCTGTCCTGTTGTAGCAGTGGCACCTTAGAGACAAAACTCTAATATTGTATTCGCATGGGCAGCACTCTACGATTGCCTGCAGTGAGTGTGCGATTGTACTGTATTGAAAATATTCAAACTCCGTAGTGTCGTAGCATTGCTGTACTATTATAATATTGTAATGCTGTAGTGGTGGCCCTGTACGAGTCGCAGAGCAGTACTTTAGCAGCAATACTGCAGTAGTGGTGCTCTGGTGTTGTGCTGCCAATAACTTGATACCGTGCTAGGCCAGTAGTCGTATTCCGTTGATGAGGTGGCAGCGCTGTAGTAGCCCTCCAGTTGCAGTGGTAAGACTCAGGTCTTGCAAAACATATTATACAGTAGTCGCGCTGTAGCATTGTAGTAGGAGTGGTACACTACTGTAGTACTCCAGCACAGTAGTAGTATCCTCGAGCTGTAGCGGTTTAGTGATAACGGTGTGAGAGAAATGCTGTAATATGGTGGAGGCGTGCTGCATTGTAACAGCGGCCTGTAGAGGCAGGACTCGAATGCAGTATTTGTATGAGCAGTGCTGTACGATTGTCTGCAGTGAATGTGCTATTGTACTGTAGTAGGCATTGCCGCATGCCGTATTATCGCAGCACGGTAATAGTATTCTGATACTGTAGTACTGTAGTGGTGGCGCTGTACCAGTCGTACTGCAGCACTGGGGCAGTAGCACTGCCGTAGTGGTTCTCTAGAAATATACACTCTGATACCGGCAGTCGTAGTAGTCGTAGTAGTAGTAGTAGTAGTAGTAGTAGTAGTAGTAGTAGTAGTAGCAGCAGCAACATCAGTCGTAGTAGTAGTAGTAGTAGTAGTAGTAGTAGTAGTAGTAGTAGTAGTCGTAGTAGTAGTCGTAGTAGTAGTAGTAGTAGTAGTAGTAGTAGTAGTAGTAGTAGTAGTAGTAGTCGTAGTAGTAGTAGTAGTAGTAGTAGTAGTAGTAGTAGTAGTAGTAGTGGTAGTAGTAGTAGTAGTAGTAGTAGTATAGTAGTAGTAGTAGTGTAGTAGTAGTGGTAGTGGTAGTAGTAGTGGTAGTAGTAGTAGTAGTAGTAGTAGTAGTAGTAGTAGTAGTAGTAGTAGTAGTAGTAGTAGTAGTAGTAGTAGTAGTAGTAGTAGTAGTAGTAGTAGTAGTAGTAGTAGTAGTAGTAGTAATAGTAGTAATAATGGTGGAGCTCAAACATTGGAGACCTCAAGCAGGGTAGCCGTACCCTAATGCTGTAGTTCCGTAGTAGTGCTGTCTGAGTAACGTTCCATTGAGGTCGAAGTAATACGCTGGTGCAGTAGTGGTGGTGACACTGTAGTGGTGGCTAGAGGAGCAGCACAGTATTGCAGTACTTCAGAAGTGTAGCAGCATTCTAGCACGGTCGTACTGTTGTACTTGAAATAGCGTTGTGGGGGTAGCAATAATATGATAATTTAGTTGTAGTGCTGTTGTAGTAACGTGGTAATAATGATACCCGAGTGTTGGAATAACAATAGTACGGTTGAAGTTCAAGCTAGGCTTTGGCTGAGGCTAGGCTTAGGCCGAGGCTTAGGCTGAACCTTATGTTAGGCGGATGCTGAGGCTTAGACTGCGGCTGAAGCTTAGGATAGGCTGACACTTAGGATGGGCTTCGGCTTGGCTGGCTCAGGCTGATGCCTCGGCTAGGCCGAGGTTGGTGCTTAGGCTTAGACTGATGTTCAGGCCAGGGCTATGCAATGCTGAGGCTGAAGCTTAGGCTAGGCTTAGGCTGAGGCTGAAGCTTAGGCCAGGCTTAGGGTAGGCTGGAGCAGAGGCTGAGGCTAGGTTCAGCAGCGGCAGAGGCTGAGGCTAGGCTGAGGCTGAGGCTGGGCTGAGGCTGAAACTGAGTCTCGGCTAAATTTTGGCTGGGGCTTAAGCTAGGCTAGGCTGAGGCTTAAGCTAGGCTTAGTCGAATCTTTAGGCCGACGACGGCGGATAGAGAGAGAGAGAGAGAGATACACACACATATATATATAGAGAGAGAGAGAGAGAGAGAGAGAAAACGAGAAAGAGAGAGAGAGATATACATATATATAGAGAGAGAGAGAGAGAGAGAGAGAGAGAGAGAGAGAGAGAGAGAGAGAGAGAGAGAGAGAGAGAGAGAGCAGGGGAGGCAGCGCCCAGGAAAAGCACAACGGGAATAACGAGCCGATACCAGCAGCAAACTGACGACGCGCTTCACCTCTCACGAAACAAATCCTTTAAAACGCAGGGGGGGATTCGGCCCGAAACCGCCTCAAGTCCCGCTTCCCTCAAGACCCGCTTGCTTCGCGGCGAGAGATCACGGCCCCCTAAGCGGGGGACTTTGATCAACCAAGACGTCGGCGCGCCCGAGAAGCCTGGCTAACAAAATCCTGGTCTAGGCGGCCTTGAAACACTTCTGGCCCCCGAAACCGTGAAGTGACAGACCGTGTATTGTCCTCGGAACCCCCAGCGATCTCACCGCGCGGTCCGTCACCGCATGGCTTTTGGACCCTGGAGGCCCCCGTCTCCCGAACCGTCCCCGGAGAACGACCCGAGTCCCAAAACCGTGCGGCGACCCCGGATCCCTGCTGACTCACCATGCAATGTGGTCACCACGCCGTCAGGGACCCCCCGAGAAACCGCTGCCAGCAGCTGCCGCCGCAAGCCCCGCGCTGGTCCGACGGTGGCAGGCTGCTGATGGAAGTGCTGTTCGGGCTCCACCCGGCTGGTGCCTCCGCGCCGCGCGCCCCTGGGGATCTTCCCCCTAGGCTGCGCCGCCTGCTCCTCCTCCTCCTCCTTCTCCTCCTCCTCGCCCTCCTTGCTGCTGCCATGGTGGTCGTCGGTCTCCTCCTCCTCCTCCTCCTCCTCCTCCTCCTCCTCCCCTCCCCCCCTCCTCCTCCTCCTCCTCCTCCTCCTCCTCCTCCTCCTCCTCCTCCTCTTCCTCCTCCTCCTCCTCCTCCTCCTCCTCCTCCTCCTCCTCCTCCTCCTCCTCCTCCTCCTCCTCCTCCCCCTCCCGCCCTCCCGAGAATCGTCGCTCCCCGGCAAAAGGGTTCGCTCCCTGGCAAAAGGGCTCGTCCCCTGGTGACCATTTCCAAACCGGAAGTTCGTTCTCCGGCAGAAGGGTCCGTCCCAGGCAGAACCCCTGCTTCCTTTGATAAGCATGGCGAAGGGCCCAACCATATGCAGTGGTGAATACTGCGATTCTGAATATCATCTTCGCCCGCGCTCCCTATGTGGCCATGGCTTCCCGCTGGAGCCCGACATGCTCGGGAACACGTTGGTGGCCGTCTTCGCGGGCGCCGACGACGACAAGGACGGCGTCCTTCTGACCGAGGAGCAGAAGCAGGAGAGGGCTTTGAGAGCCATGAGGGAGGAGGTGGCGTTGCACTGCGACAAGGCGGAGTACGACGTCCAGGCGCGGTTATTGAAGCAACACAACTATGGGGCCACGATCCTCGTGAGGGGTGTGCCGAAATGGCCCGGGGCCGCCATGCGAATCCTGCCACTGGCGCCTTCGATGGCGGTCCCTGTGGGGCCACGATCCTCGTGAGGGGTGTGCCGAAATGCCCCGAGGCCGCCATGCGACATTGCCACCGGCGCCTTCGCTGGAGCTCCTATGGGGCCACGATCCTCATGAGGGGTGTGCCGAAATGCCCAGAGGCCGCCATGCGAACCCTGCCACTGGGGGCCTTCGGTGGAGTTCCCCACGGGGCCACGATCCTTGTGAGGGGTGTGCCGAAACGGCCCGAGGCAGCCATGCGAACCCTGCCGCCGGGGGCCTTCGCTGGAGCTCCCTATGGGGCCACGATCCTTGTGAGGGTTGTGCCGAAATGGCCCGAGGCCGCCATGCGAACCCTACCAGAAGGGGCCTTCGGTGAAGCTCCCTATGTGGCCACGATCCTCATGAGGGGTGTGCCGGAATTGCCAGAGGCCGCCATGCGAACCCTGCCGCCGGGGGCCTTCGGTGGAGCTCTCTATCGATCCTCGTGAAGGGTGTGCCGAAATGGCCCGAGGCCGCCGCGCGAGCCTTGCCACTGTGGGCCTTCGGTGAAGCTCCCTATGTGGCCGCGAAGCGTGTGAGGGGTGTGCCGAAATGGCCCGAGGCCGCCAGGCGAACCCCTGCCACTGGCGCCTTCGCTGGAGCTCCCTATGGGGCCACGATCCTCGTGAGTGTGCCGAAGTTGCTCGAGGCCGCCATGCGAACCCTGCCGTTGGGGCCTTCGGTGGAGCTAGCTCCCTATGGGGCCACGAAGCGTGTGAGGGGTGCACCGAAATGGTCCGAGGCCGCCATGCGAACCCTACCACCGGCGCCTTCGGTGGAGCTCCCTGTAGGGCCACGGTCCTCTTGAGGGTTGTGCCCAAATGGCCCAAGGCCGCCGCGCGAACCCTGCCAGCTCCCTGTGGTCACGAAGCGCTGTGCTGGGTGCGCCAATGCAGAGACACGCGGAGGGCAGAGGCAAGGAGAAGGAGGGGCAGGGGGGAGGGCAGCGGGGGGCGAAGGAGAAGGAAACGCGGGGCACCGTCTCTTCAAAACGAGGGCCCAACACCGCAGGATGGCCGAGAAAACTGCCACGAAAAGTGAGGCAGCCTTAGAACCTCAGAAGACCAATCGCAGAGCCCTTGCAGAGCCGTCCCAAAGACTCTGCAGAGCCTCTGAGGAACCCTTCGCAGAGCCTTCGTGGGTCGACGGTCGCTGCCGCGACGTGCTCTCTCTTGCGCGTGGCCACGCGGGGAGACGAGGGCGAGTTGGGGGGGGAGGGATGGGGGTGGAGGAGGAGGGGCGAGCGTCGCCAACCGGGCCCTCCGCCTAGGCCGCCTGCCGCGCCGAGGCTCTCGAGCGCGCGGTGGCGTCGCCCAGGTGGATGTCGGAGGAGTCGAAGTAACCGTCGTAGTTGAAGGGATCGCCAAACTTGTCGTGATAGTAGGAGCTGTCCGAACGAGCATGCGAGCGGCACGAGACCGCGCCGACGGCGTCGAAGGACAGGGCGGAGGGGGGGGGGAAGGCGACCGCGAGGAGCGCGCCACCGAAGAATAATGCGCCCGACAAGCGCGCGCGGTCGGTGGGGAGGCGGAGAGGAGTAGATAGGGGCCGCGCCGAGGGCAACGGTCAGAAACGGTCGGCACGTAGGGGATGAGGTTGTCGCGCTTGATCTGGACGGGCGGGAACTGGCCGAAAGGACGGGCAACCCGCCGCTGAGCATCGCCATTGTGCTCGGATGCTGCACGCGGCGCGCCGTTGAGTTCAGGTTCCTTCACCAATCCCGTGATGCGAGCATGTGCGACCGCGCCCTGCAGAAAACATCAGGACCGCCATGGGGATCTACATCTCGAAATACATGGTGATCACCCGCAGCAGCATTGGGACCAACGCGGCGAACTTGAGAAACTGCAAGAGGGTCATGGCGCCCATCTCGCGATGCTTCCCTTTCGCCGCCAGAAGCTTCAGGAGCGGCTCGACAATCGGGGGGAACTTCGCGATGCTCGCGAAATGCTCATCGTATTTCGTGTTGCTCGGCAGCGCGCCTGTGGTCATCAGCGTCTGCGCCATGAAGCCCTTGTTCAGGAAGTAGCTGCGCGGCTCCTTCAGGGGGAAGCCACCCCGGGCCGTCGGGTGGAAAATGAACGCCGTCGACGCGAGGCCGAAGCCCCGCAGGGGGTTGAAGCGCAGCGGGCGCGCCAGCAGCATCGTCAGGTAGAGGGGGATGCGCAGGGAGAGCGTGGCCAGCAGCGGCAGGACCCGCTGCAGCACCACCGCCATGCGGCAGAAGCCCTGCAGGAGGCTGAAGAACAGCAAGTGCGCCAGCAGCGTCGTCAGGTGGCGGAAAAAGGGGCTCAGGGAGAGCGCGGTCATCAGCGGCAGGGCCCTCAGCAGCACCATCGCCAGAAGAAGGGCCCAGAAGACCAGCGGACTCATCGTTCCCATGCAGGCGATGCGGAGGAACTAGGAGTCCACCACCTTCATGCGATGTCCCCGCCGCGTTGAGAGACAGGTCGTACATTCCAGGAGAGCTGCGACCAGCAGCCCGCTCGCGCCAAAGCGCTGTCGCCAGCGGCTGTGCAGAGACGAATTGTGGCAAGAGCTGGGAAAGGCGCCCGTGCTCGGTGGTGACAGCGTCATGGGATATCTCGCCCAGGTGGGAATGTCTGCAAGTGGCGCCGAATTGGCAGGCTGGATTGCGCTTGCATGCGGGTCTCGCTGCAATCCGCGGCCCGACCTCCAGGGCCTTCAGCCAAAAGCAATCGAGAGCATCAGATGGAATGCGATTCGGCGCAGCGTCTCGGTGATGTTCGGGAGATAGGCCCAATGCCAGGTGCACCGTGAGCGCCAGCAGCCAGCGAAGTTGTGGTCTCGGTGTGTGCGTGGAGGGCGGTCACTGGCGGTTCAAGATGCGAGCGAAGGGCCTCTGCGATAGCTTGGCCCTGGCCTCTGAGAGCATCACCAGGTGGAGGGGGCGCAGCAACGCCATCGTGGAGACCGCCAGGCGGGCCATCCACAACAACAGTGGCATCTCGCTCGGGAGGGGCAGAATGGAGACCGTCGTGGCGCAACGCGCCATCCTGACCCACAGTCTGCATAAATTTTGCCCCCAGGTCCGACCGCGGAGGGGCCTGTCATTCACCGGCAGCCGGCGCCGCGCGTGCAGGCGCGGCCGCGGCGGAGGCCCCCGCCCGTGCGCCCGCTGGAGGGCGGTGTGCCAAGTGGTTGGGGCCCTGGGTTTCCTGGCTCGCCGGCCCGCCGCCCGCCCCCGCGGAGTCGCCGAGGCCGGCCGTGCCGGCGCCGGGCGCGCCTGCCGAGACCGGGGCGTCGTCTGCGTGGCCGGCCGCGACGATGTCGCCACAGCAGCGCCCTCGGCTCCCGCCGGGCCCGCCGCGCCGGCAAGCGCATCGAACGCGGCCGCGAACTCGGCGACGCCCGCGGCCGCGCCGGCCCCCGCCGCAGCCCGGCGCCCGCGGGCGGCGCCGCCCTGCCTGCCCTTCTGGCCTGGCCGCGCCGCCTGAGCCAGCCACCGGGCCCGCCTTGCCCGCCGCGCCAGCCGGCGCGTCTGCCGGCGCCGCGACCCCCGCCGGCTCCGCCGCGCCCCCCGCAAGGATTAGAAGTCAAGGGCGGGGAGCAGGCGGGCGGGGCAGGCAGGCGATGCTGGGCAGGAGGGGGCAGGCGAGCATAGGTAGACGACGAGAAATCGGAAGGGGCTGCCGGAGATGGCCCCACCGGCGGATCCACGTCGGAGGCGGCGTCGTCGGCGCGTCGCCCGCGGCCCCGGCCCACGGCGGGAGGGCCCCGAAATCCTCTCGGGCGAGCCGCGGGCCGCGCGCAGCGACCATGCGCGCCGCTCGGCGCCAGATCGCGGCGCCGATGGCGGCGCGGGCCCGGGCGGCGAGCGCGTGCGAGGGGGGCGCCCGGGCGCCTTCCCTCAGCGCGACGCCGTGGCGGCGAGTCCTGGCGGCGCAGCAGCGGCCCGGGCCAGCCGCGCCCGCCCGGGCGCCAGCGAGGCGGCCCAAGCCGAACAGCAGTCCGCGCAGGGCGCCGACGCAGCACCAACCCCGCGCCAGGGCGAAATGCCCGAAACAAGGCGTGAAGCGAACAGGGGCCTCCCAGCCTCCGCGTTCGTAGATGGCGCGCGTGGCGGCGCACTTGCAGCTCGCCGTCGACGCTGCCCAGGCTGTCGTCGCGACGGCGGTAGCCCGCGAGGCATGGCCTCGTGCCTGCGCCGGCGTCTCGCCCCATCCCGCC